TGCCTACACCCTCCTCTTACCAGTGGGCTGCCTTAAGGAAAAGCACAAAGAGATGCTAATAAAACCTTTTTTTTTTAAATGTTTTATAATTTTTATCTCCGCTCCCTCGGAAGCCCCACAAATCTCCCAAGCTCTGAAAATCTTTAAAAAAAATTCTCATGAACAGAGAACAAACTTTTTTTTTTCATTGCCTTTTTTTCTGGTCTGGTATTTCATCTCCCCACAGATCGGAAACACTCTGTCCTTTCTAGACCTGGCTACTCAAGTATAAGACTAGGTGTTTTCAACTATTTACTCCTTTTTGTAACCTTTCAAACCATCTCCCTTTCTCTCTCTTGACCTCTTCCCCCCTCCACACTTTTTTTCCCTCTCTCTCTTCTCCCCCTACATTACCTTAATCCCATAATAGCCTCTCCAAACGCCATCAATTTCTTTGATGAGCATACAGAACTCGAGCACAAATCATCCTGTTACAGGAAACCCACTTCCTGAGCTGACATTTTATTAAATGTTTTCTTGCCAACTCTCCAACTGATTATTATTGCTGCTATTTATAAAGCACCAATATATTCTGCAGCGCTGTACAGGTAGGGAAAAAGACAGTACAAAATAAACAGACCAATACAAAAATAAAAGAGGGCCCTGCCCATGAGCAGAGGTCTAACCCCTGAAGAACTTATGCAGAGTTCTTTGCTAGATAGTCATGATTTTACAATCTAAATGTTAAAATGGGAAGATTAGACATGAGGTAGCAAGATGAATTTGGATGTAAAGGTATATAGAATTCAAAGTAAAACTGAAGCCACTGGTAACATGTAAAGGGAATGAGGAGTGGGGTTGCTTTTTTGTAAAAAAATTACTGGCCATGCTAATTTTCATTATTAATTATATATGCGTGACATAACAGGACAGAATGCCATTAGATGTTATGTAACATCACAGGCAGAAGATGTGGCCACATAGACCTAGAACAGGGGTTACTGCAGTATCCAAAGATCAAAGTAAGACCTGATAACTCTGTGCTGCTAACCTTGCACCCTGTTGCTCAAAGCAGGACCAAATCCAAATACAGACTATAAAGAAATCAAGGAAGATCAACTAGAAATCAACTAGATGCTAAATGTGCACAAGGAGTGCTACATACAATTTATATGAAGAACCAAAAAGAAACTAATTTTGGATTTCCCCTTTGTCAATGCCAAAATGTCCTTACACGAAAAAGCTAAGTTACCCATATCTAATATATATATATATATATATATATTCCAACAGAATTGCAAAAAAAACAAAAAAAGAAACCCAGACCTGCCCCCATTAGAGACTAACTACAATGGCATATGTTTTCAGAGAAAGGCTATTAGTGTCCCCTTTCTGAGGTCAAACAATAGGTCATGATCCTCTGATAAACTCAACCACTAGGAGCACTTCACCCAGAATCCCTTTTGTAAATAAATTTTCTGTACGTTCCAAGCTGATATAAAAAAATAATTCAGGACAATTGGCACATTTTACAGTTTGATAGGCAAGTTGGATATCTGTTCATGGCTGGAATCTCAGCTGTAAGACTAATGCGCACGCCCGGAAACTGCCACGCTGGCTGTCAGCCCTCTCTCACTTACCTTGTCGGTCTGCCGACGTCGGGATCGGGCAGACTGCTGCTCCCACGGTGAGAGAGAGTCATGAAGTCAGGAGAGCTCTATACAACAGAGCTCAGCACACACACATGTACCTTTTGGGGGCCTGGCTATGCTAACCACGCCCCAAATCATATAAAAGTCCAGTCTGCCCTAAACACAGTGCCCTGTTGTGGTTCCTAGTTTGCCTTGTGTCCCTTTAGTGCATTCCTGTATCATTTGTGATAGTTCTGACCCGACTTGTTCTTGACTATTCTGATTTCTGGGTTCCCTGACTCGGCTTCGTTCCTGTTTATTGTGTATTTCTGGCTTCCCTTGACCTTGCATTGTTTTTGACGTTTCTTGTAGTTTTCGCTTTTATCCAGCCACTCTGACTCTGTTTCTACTGATTACACTGGCCAATCAACATCCCTTCATAGAGATGCATTGTATCACTGCATCTCTATGAGGAATGTTCAGTGTCTCCATGCAGAGCATTGAAACGTTGAACTTCACTGTTGCATGTTGTGCAGCATTGACCCAGGAAGCAGTCCTGGTCATGCTGGCTGGTGGTAGTGACAGGTCTAGAGCAGCTCCTGGAGTGCTTCTCTCCCCTTATGCCGTGGCTGCTTCCTCTCCCTCCCGCGCTGTCTCCCTGCATGAAGCTGGGAGGAAGTGCCAGGCTGTGACTTCCTCGCAGCCGGCCGGCATAACAGCGCATTTAGCACTGGGAAACATTTCTGCTGAACAGGGGCCTGTTCGGGTGCCATAGTCTTTTAAGACCGCGACTGGGCCCCTGTTCAGCAGACATGTTTCCTGGTGCTACAATAAAAGCACCCGGGAAACATTTTGTGGCGCCCCTGTGTACCAGTCATGGCGCCCCTGTGTGTTTGGGAACCGCTGGTATATATTGTAAAGTCACTTTAGCACTACTGTGATCCACAGACTAACCATTTAGTAGTGCAGCTCATTTTGTTATTCTCCATTTCTGCAGACCATGTTTTTGCTCCTTCTCGGTACAGATACAATTTGGCCATTTTGTGTAATAGTTGATTTTAAGTAGCCTTATAAAATTTTACACCAGATGTGTATGTGTGCGCTGTTCCTTTTATCAGTATTATGTATACATTTTGGTCTCTACAGCAGCACCATGCCTTAGAAAAGCATGTTCCAGGTTGTCCCAAATTCCCCTTTTTGTCTTTCATTTGTCGGTGCACGTAGCATTGTGTATGTGTATCATTATGTTTGTGTGTATGTGTAAAAGTGCATGTCAGTGTGTATAATGTGTGTTTGTAAGCAGTGTGTCACTCTGTGTAGCCTGTGTTTATAAATGTGTGTACATAGCAGTGTGTCATTGTGCGTGTACTGTCTAAGTGTGTAGACTAGGTGTGTTTGAGTGTGTGTAGCGGTGTGTTTTATTGTGTGTATACTGTGTATGAGTGGGGGGTGTATGAGTAATTGTGTTTAAATAGCAATGTGTGTATCTTCTATGTATAAAAGTGGTGCATATTGGCTCAGTTTTTCTCACTACTCTATCAGTCTAGTCAGAGAAAAATACTGGCCTCTTGTCAAGGTCAATCTCCCTAACATGGACACTAAGGGGCTCTTATGGGTACGCAAACCAAGACGTATTACCGGGCCTTAGACTGGCCGGACTTAACGTATGAATAAGTACAGTGAGAAGTATACAATAGTCAGACAGGCCAAAGTCAAGATTGGAGATGGAAGGATCAACATTGAATAAAGCCAAGGGTCAAGGATTCCAGAAAAACTTAACATCTAGAAACAAGCCAAAGTCAGATACCAGAAAAGTCTAAACTAAAGACACAAACTCTCAAGCTACAAAAGACCATGACAGGGCAAGGAAGTGATGTAAGAAGGAGTTATAAATAGGACTAAGTGAGAATTGGCTAGGAAACAAATTAAGGTAATACTTGAACAGATATAAATTAAGTGCTAACTCAGATGTAAAATATGTTAGTTCCCCTTTAAGAGGCCAAAGACAAGGAAGGGACATGCCCCCTAGCTTGTCACTGCATGCGTAAGTGCACAACCGCATGTCAGCCACACGTCGGCACACTACGGGAGAGGAGGGCCGGCGTCAGCATGGACAGCGGGAGCGGACCGAGAGCAGGTATGACATTTTTGTAATGACGATATTTTTGCAATACTGGACAGATAGCCAAATATACCAGCTATACTGGTAAATTACCAGCGCAGGTGGCCATGCTATGTGGAAATGATTGAGTGCAATGTCAAACTGATGGAAAAGCATGTACAAATTTAGAAGGAACCAGAGTTGGCGGGTTGGCAGTGCTTAGTGGAAATTAAGTGACTTTTTTTCTGTTAGTTTCTTTGTAGAATTAGGCCTTAATGTTGCAGGGAGAGATGGAAATACAGTGGCTTTCTTTCTGTATGTTGCTCTGCGGAATTATGTTTTAAAGGTTCAGGTGTAAGAGTTAATTTTAAGATGCTTGTGAAGCTTGTTATTGCTTGTACTTTTCCATTCCTGCCTCCCTACTGTTTCAGCAAGCTCTGGCAGTTTCAACAAAACTGGACCCCTACCTTTTGTTAACCAGCCCAGATGCCTGAGGTTGGAACTTTTCAATGTATAACTCATGCCAAGATGCAATTTTTCCAATTTGTTTCATGTTCGCCTTGTGTAATTGCCTTTTGCCTATATCAGTGAACACATTAAAGTTTGAAGATGCTTTGAGACACCATGACTGCATGTATCTCATTGCTTCCTCTGGCTTTTTTCCGATCTAATACTTCTCCTTGGAAATTGCTGATCAGCTGTGTGGGTCTAAAAAGGAGTGCTGAGTACCCATTCATATACGATGTGCCAGGTGTAAATTCTCTGTTCAACACAGAGATAGGTGGTAATTAAACGGCTTTCTTTTTGTCAGTTGCTTTGTGGAATTGTTGATGGAGAACATCCTAAATTCTTTAGTCACCAGCACAAACCCCACCAACTTTCTTAATAAGCTCAACCAAATTGCCAATCTTCTTGCCAACACCATACTTAAGGATTGGTTTTCTGCGTAGCAACATCACATTACAATATACAAAATATTACGTCACTCTGCCCCAGCATACTACACAGGACGTGAGAGGGAGCAGAGCAGGAATATGACAGCAGCCCCACAGGACTCCAGGGAAAGTAAATCCACTCCAGCTCTACCAAAGGTGAATTTCAATTAAAATAATAAAAAATATTGTGTGTGTATCTATCAGTGTGTGTTTCTCTCAATGTGTCATTATGTGTGTGTCTGCCAGTATGTGTGTGTCTGTTTAGGTGACCAGCAACCCTCTGATGCATGGGAAAAATTTACTTTTTTCCCACACCATGCCAATCGCAACCAAACCAATGCTTTCCCGTAGGAAAGCAATCCGAGGCCATTGTGCATGCACTAATCAGTTACTCCTCACCACTCTAATATTGCCTCCTTCCCCCAAATTAATACATTGCCCCCCACCCACCACCTTAATACACTGCCTTCCTCTCACACCACTCTAATACACTGCCCACTACCTCACCCAATTTAATACACTGTCACCCTACCGCCCCAAATTATTACACTGCCCTCTCCCTCCCTCACATTTATACACTGCTCTCCTCCTCAATTAAATACACTGGCCCTCTCACTCCCCCAAATTTAACACACTGCCCCCTCCCACCACTCTAACACACTGCCCCCTCCTTCCCCTAAATTAATACACTGCCCTCCCACAATTTAACACCTGGCCCCCATCCCACCACTCTAATACACTGCCCCCTCCCTCCCTTAAATTAATACATTGCCCACCCACCCCAATTTAACACACTACACAGGAAAATCCCCCAATACCCTCTTCTCCTACCTTAAGATGAACCGCTCGTCCTCCAGTTCCAGCTCTTCTCTGCAAGCAGGCCAGATGCTCCTCTGGCACTGTGAGCAGGAGGGAAGGGGGAGTGGCTGGCCTGCTCTGCAGACATACAGCCACTCTGGCGGCCGTTGGAGGGAAAACAAGGATCAGACAGGAAAGAGATTTCCAGTCTTGCGGCTGGTCACAGCCACAGTACAAAGCGGCCCCAGTGCTTGCACGTGGCGGCCTCAAATGAGCCGTTGTCAGTCATGATAAAGGCTGCTCGTTTGAGGGCCGAAATGTTGCTGTTCACTGTTCCTAAACGAAAGATTGCTTGAGAAAATGTGTGACTGGGAGTTTTGGGGGGGGGGGTTGTCCTCCATGCCTGGCGAGCCCTGGTGGGAATACTCCCTTATTCAACATATGTATTACTCAAATTGTGTACAGTATAACATTAGAATAGGCCTGGAAAACCTTGTATTGGATAATTTCAATAAACATCATAATCAAGATAAGACAGAGCCAAGTTATTTGGAAATTTAAAAAGTGAAAAAAAGAAATCTGGAAAAAATAAATATTGGGACAGGAGGAAATAGATGGGTAATTCATTTAAGTACTTTAACCCCCACTGGATTAAATTTAGAATTTTTATTATTTAAATTTCTTACAAGAACAAGATAAATATTTTATTTTTATTTATAATTTTTATGTATTAAGTATGTTCTAGCCAGTAGCTGGAGTTTTATAGTTATATGTCTCTTAAATGTAACGTTAGCCTAATGTAACCTATTTTGTATTTGCAGGTAGTTACTTTCTCATTTGCTAATATTTATTACTATGATTTATTTGTGTGACATTTTGCATATAGAGCATTATGGAATTGCATTATGAATACTATAGATACCACCTTGGTCTAAGTATTTTTTAATTATTGTTGTGTTTTGGTTACATAATGGCAAGGATAATAAACAATTACAGGGGCACTCCATTTCTCAAATACAAACGAAAATTCACCATTCAGTAGATATATCCCAAAATAAATACATGCATGCATTTAATAATATTTTTTTTCATTGATATCTTGTCCGTAGCCTTTGCAAACTCTCCTTCGGGTCTTGACCTCCAAACGGTCCGTGGTTGTCCATTAACAGACTTCCCAATGCAGTTCAATTAAAAGTCTTTGCAAGCCATACGCTCTGGGTAATTGCTTACCTCTTCAGTTTAGCAGTATAGAGCTAAACAACCAGGAAGTAACATGATCGTTTGTGTGATTGACAGCCAGAGGATGTAACAAAGTTAAATTGGAAAAGTGCCAATTTCTACTGAAATCTGCACTCTTTGCACAATGAAAAAGAACACACTGTTCACACATATAGCACTTCAGCAAGCTTAAGTGCTTTAGGGGTCTAGAGAGTGTCCCTTTACAGTTAGTAACAAAGAGACTGAATGTGACAATGTATAAATAGGGGATATGCATAAAACGAACCAATACTCTTTAGAAAGCTTTGAGAGGGGTGGGCGTGTCCAACAGCCGGCTCGTGCGGTCGCATGGAGTAGGAGCTCCCGGCCACAACGGACCCAAACGCAACGTTTAGGCGAACCCGGAGGTCAATTCCCGGTAAAAAACTTACCCGGCACTTAATACAGCAACATGGCACCGTCCAAACAATTAAAAATGACGGACCAAATGAAAACCGCCAGAAAAGAGAAAAGCAGGCCCCTGCAAGATGGCGACGACAGCATGGGCTGCTATCCGACACCAGATCAGCTTTCAGATAATGACACAACGCCCTCCTCATACACAGAGGCACCAGCCAGCGAAAAAAGGCTGTTTATAATGCTGCAAGAACTGAGAACCACCTTAAATGCGGACATGAAACAAATGACTGCAGAAGTTAAGCGGGAACTGGCCGACATTGGGGACCGCACTGACCGCCTGGAGGTACGGACGGAAGAACTGTGCGCCACACAAAATGACCTTGCAGAACAACTGCAGGCGCTCAGGGAAGAACACCTAACACTGAAAAGAAAAACGGCAGATATAGAAGACCGCTCCAGGCGCAATAATGTAAGATTCAGAGGCATCCCCGATAGTATATCCCACGACGCACTCCCTGACTATATAACAGGCCTCTGCACCACTCTGGCACCGGCCATAGAGAAAGACAGATGGCTTATGGACAGGGCCCATCGCATCCCTCGGCCACCGCGATTCACGAGTGACACACCAAAAGACACGGTGGTCAGATTCCACTTTTTCAAGTCAAAAGAAACACTGATGGCTGCGGCGCGCAAACTACAGCAGCTCCCCTCACCATACCAAGGCATCCAGGTATACGCAGATCTCTCAGCGCTCACCATGGAAAGAAGACGGGAATTCATCACAGTCACGAAGACTCTACGCAACCATAACATACAATACCGCTGGGGCTACCCAACTAAACTCCTACTATGGAAGGACAACACGCATCATAATATTGACACTCCTGATGAGGGCCTACATCTCCTGCGAAAATGGGGACTATTTGGGACCAAAGACCCTCCATCACAGAAACAACATGCGCACCAACGACTGCCGACGGAATGGCACATGGCGGGCTCACCTAAGCCACAGCAACCACAACAAAATGTATAACGGGACTAAGTGTAGAAGTACAAGAAAGACCAGGTCTATATGTGACATCCCTCAACTGAAGAGACACCAATATGTATGTATGTATGCACTGACATGATTGACACACTAACACTGCATACTTCAGATATCAACTCCATTGGAGTTCATAATAGGCTCTGGCAGGGCGACACAAAACACAAAAAAAACAACAAAAAAAACAGAAACCCAGCAGATCAACATACTTATACACAAAAAAAAAACCCTTACTTCTCACATTTGTTTAAAGGGCCGTTGACACGGCAGCACACCTCAGTTCACGCCTCCCAGGTTGATCCGCGGCCCGGTTCAGGAGCGGTCCATAGACCAACCAGGTACAATGCCCGCACCGCAAGGGGCATCATGTATATACTTTGTTTATGTTTTGTTGTTTTTATTAATGTTATTGTTTATGTATATGTTCATGTACCTACCACTGCCCAATACCCGGCTAAGCCACCTGAAACCAAGCAAACACTCCCGAACCAAGAGTATCCCGAGCCAACCCTTAGAGGCGCAACCTGATACGCGCAGCACTAAAACAAGGCGCACTAACTTCCCCCCAGATGAATGCCTAGCACTAACTGCACCCAACTCCCCCGACCCACAACCCTGATGGCTAACACATTACAACTACTTTCTCTTAACGTTAAAGGCCTTAACAGCCCCCATAAACGAAGGTTAGCTGCGCAGGAACTACGCTCATCCAAGGCAGCAATTGCCTGCCTGCAGGAAACCCATTTTTGTAAACGTAATCCACCGAAATTCTCAGTGAAACAGTATGCACAGGCCTTTCATGCCTTCTCCCCAACTAAGTCCAGGGGAGTCTCTATATTCTTCCACGACGATTGGGCATTCACGATGAGCAAACAGCATACCAATAGAGATGGCAGGCTACTTATATTGGTGGGAGCCTTAAACGGTATAGAAATTACCATAGCCTCACTGTATGCACCCAATGAGGGCCAAAAATCATTTCTCGCCTCAGCAATGAGAAAACTAGACAGATACAAGAGGGGCCATGTAATCTTATGTGGCGACTTTAATTGCACGACTGACCCATTTGCGGACGTAAAACGAATGGGGAACAAAGGCCCCAAAAGCACGTCTATCTCACTAGGACGCCACATGACCAAATTAATCACGCTACATGACCTCTATGACTCATGGAGATGCCTCCACCCCGCAGACAGGGACTATACGTACTTTTCCCCGGTCCATATGACATATTCTAGGATAGACTTATGCCTCATTGACAAGAGCACCCTAATACACCTTGTTGACGTCTCTATAGGTCCAATAACGTGGTCTGACCACGTGCCGCTTGCGGTTACGCTTCGCGTCCCGTACCCGGCTCGTGGAAGGGGCACATGGCGCATGAATGAAGCTTTAGTGGACAACCCAGACAACTCCAAAACCTTAAACAAACAAATCACCGACTTCTTTGAGAATCACGCAAACTGCACAACAAATATTACAACCCAGTGGGTAACACATAAGGTGGTAATAAGAGGGACACTCATTCAAATGGGAGCTAGAAACAAACGACGAACATGCTTGCAGAAAACTGACCTAATATCGAAACTCACAACTTTAGAAGCCTCCCATAAGCAAAAACCCAGAAAACATACCCAGAAACAATTAGAACAAATACGGCTCCAACTCCATGCCATAGATCTGAACACCACCGAAAGGCACATGCGCTATCTCAAACAATCCCACTATGTTGAGGGCAATAAAGCAGGGAAATTGTTAGCTAGGAGACTTAAAAAAAGATATCAAGCGTCCAAACTGCCATACATAACGTCCGCAGCGGGTGACAAACTCTTCAACCCACAAGACATGGTGGAGGAATTAGCCTCCTACTACGCCATGCTTTACCAACTAGATAATGACAGGAATACTCATCAACCTACAAGGAGAGACTTACAAGCCTTCTTCACTGACATTACCCTCCCGACCCTTACCCAAGAACAGAAAACCTCTCTGGAAAGGCCATTCACAGATGAGGAAATCCGTTCCACGATAAAGTCTTTACCAAAACGAAAAGCGCCAGGCCCAGATGGATTAACGAACCACTACTACCACATATTTTGAGACACACTGACCCCACATCTTACCAAACTTTTCAACCATATTAAACGAGTAGGAGTCGTCCCACCAGAAATGCTGGAAGCCCATATCGTAACCCTTCCAAAGCCCAACAAACCCCCCACCATATGTGCCAATCTCCGACCCATCTCCCTACTAAATGCTGATATCAAACTTTACGCCAAACTACTAGCCAACAGAATAAAACCATTCCTACCCAGATTAATCTCGAAAGAGCAAGCAGGGTTTGTCCCCGGAAGGCAGGTAGGAGACAACACCAGGCACTTTATCAATCTAATAGAATGGGCACATAAATCGAACCAACAAGGGATTCTCCTGGCTCTCGACGCTGAAAAAGCGTTCGATCGCCTGAACTGGGAATATATGACAATGACACTCGAAATCATGGGATTCCCCCAACCCTTTATAACCAGCATTTTGGCGTTGTATAGCTGCCCTTCGGCAAAAATATATAACACCGGATTCCTCTCAAAAGCCTTTAATATCCGCAATGGCACACGCCAGGGGTGCCCACTCTCTCCACTCATCTTTATCTTGTGCTTAGAACCCCTGATCTATAACATAAAAAATAACCCCTCAATCCGAGGGCTCAACACCCCAACAGGGGAGCAAAAACTGGCCCTTTTTGCGGACGACATAATAGTATTTATGACAAAACCGATACAATCTATCCCGGCTCTCACTAGAACACTGAACTCATATGGGTCGGTATCATACTACAAAAATAATGCAGCCAAAACCCAAGCCCTCCCCATAGGCTTACCACATAATATAATTAAAACACTGAAGGAAACACATAACTTCGACTGGCGGTCGAAATCGATTCAATATTTGGGGATAAAACTGACAAAAAATGTGCACTCACTAACGACGGAAAACCACACACCTATGATTCATAAACTAATGACCCAAATGAACAAGTGGGAAGGACTGGAGGTGTCATGGTTGGGGCGCATTAACACCATCAAAATGATGATCCTGCCACATGTGCTCTATCTCTTTCGCACACTTCCCATACCCATGTCAGCCAAACTGCTAAAAAGGTTCCAAACCATAATCAACGCCCATGTATGGAACGCAAACCACCCAGACTGGCTGCTGCCAAACTAAGCCTTTCATACACGAGAGGAGGCCTGGGAGTACCAAACATCCGTAACTACTATAGAGCATCCCTTCTTGCACAAGGCCTGCGTATAATCCGAACCACGGGCGCCGACCAAACTCCACTATGGCTAACCCTCGAAAACGCCTGCATACACCCAGCCACTATCCCAAATGCTCTCTGGCTCCACGAGCCTAAATCAGTGGGTAAAGAAGGACTATGGTGCACGCAAACAACACTACATACTTGGGAACGTTGGGGTCCAGAGGTAATAGACGCACAGACACTACATAAGGAAGCACCACTAACTGCACTGCAGACCAGCTCACCCGACCTCTCCCTCCTCACATGGTCAAACCTAGGAATACATAAAGTAAAAGACTTATACACCCAAAACGAACTGAAAACATTCCCCACTCTGCAAAGCGAATTCTCCCTCAATCCAAGAGACATCTTTACATACCTAAGGGTTAAGAACATACTACAAACACGTATTAAACCGGCAGCACCCACACCACCTTTAGCAATACCCTCAGCCCGTTATATACTGACATCCCGCTCCATCAAACCACTAGCCTTATGCTATAATGCACTAGAAAAGGGAAAATCCATGCATAAACACTCCTATATGGAAAAGTGGGAGGAAGACATAGGGGAGCCAATCACTATACAACAATGGTATGACGCCTTCCAAGCCACTAAACGAGCATCAAAAAGCCTATCTCTGTGGGAAGCATATAGCAAAATAGCAATGCGTTGGTATCTAGTCCCCCTCAGATTGGCAAAGATATTCCCCAACACCTCACCACTGTGCTGGAGATGTGAACAACAGCAAGGGTCTCTACTGCATATTTTCTGGGAATGCCCAGTCATAAAACCATTTTGGATCGCTATCCAAAAAGTCATAAGGGAAACTACTAACTTGTCAATTCCACTAAACCCAGCACACTACCTACTCCACATACTACCTACGACAAGCCCAACAAGAAACCCATTAAGCACAATCGCCATAATCATACTAACCGCGGCCAAAGTCGCGATCGCATCAAAATGGAAACACAACGTGCCCCCAACTCAGGAGGAAGTAACACGCAGAGTAGACAGTATATGCATATATGAACAGATGGCACACAAAATGCAGGGAACATCTGAGAAACACAACACCTACTGGAGAGGATGGCTGGACGCCCGGAAAGAGACGGTACAGGAAGACAATCACTAACCTACATACAAAACTAAGACAGCTGAAATCGGGAGTAATTGCATCACACAGAGAGTGCAACTTACGGCAACTGACAAATAGACGGCCCTATAAGGACCCAAGTCACATACACTGCACGCACTCAGCTTCTAGGCCGGATGGGTCAGACATACAGTCAAATTATAGGTACAGTTAAAGTTAAAGGTTATCCCCTCCCCAACCCCTCACCCTACCCCCGGTTGCATGATATGACAGACACACCTAAAGTCACAGACTCACCAATAAAGAGGCACAGCAACCCAAATTCTAAACAATAATCGCTCTCACCCAGCCCCTACGCAGACGACAACCCTGAAATAAGCGCAACACGAGCGACATTAAGACATGATACACATAGGTTAGAAGGACTACCTTATAAAGCTGAAAATGTTATACACGACAAAAGATGACATTAATGCAACAATGTTTGATGTAAATGGTCTATGTGCTGCTGCGCCAGCACAACATTATGTTTATCACTATGTTTATCACAATTATTACTGTTATCATTACTGTCTGTATCAACATCAGTATTATGATTATGTATCAGCACCGGAAAACTCGATAAAACCAATAAAAATTATATATGGAAAAAAAAAGAAAGCTTTGAGAGGCGGAACAAAATGCATAGTGAGACACACTAATAAAGGAGCGAAACAAGAAAGCAAGAGAGAAGAGAGGAATCACTAAGAGAGATATCACAGGAAGAGATTCCATGGTGTAAAGTCTATGTACAGTTTGTTTTTTGTCATTGCTCCTGTTCTGCATTGTTTTTAAAGTGGTAAATAATTGAATTTATTTATATGGTGAAATAAATGATGTCTATAGCTGGCACTGTTTTCTGTCCATTTATCTGGAAGTTAAGATCAATCAATCTCAATGGTCTGATACTCCCAAAAACACCACTCAAATATTTATGGGGATATTTTGTTAAAAAAAAATGTTTTTGGGCATTTTTACAAAATCCAGTGAAAATGATTGAAGTCCGACAGCACTGGTCAGAGCTGTGGCAACTGACATTTAATGTTGATAAGTGCAAAATAATGCATCTTGGACATAAAAACCCAAGGGCAGAGAATGCAATATTTGATAGAGTCCTAACCTTAACATCTGAGGAAAGGGATCTGGGGTAATTATTTCTGATGACTTAAAGGTAGGCAGACAATGTAATAGAGCAGCAGGAAATGCTTGGTTATATAGAGAGAGGTATTAGCAGTAGAAAGAGAATAGTGCTCATGTCATTGTACAGAACACTGGTGAGACCTCACTTGGAGTATTGTATGCAGTACTGGAGACCGTATCTCCAGAAGGATATTGATACTTTAGAGATAGTTCATAGAAGGGCTACTAAACTGGTTCATTGATTGCAGGATAAAACTTACAAGGAAAGATTAAAGGATCTTAACATGTATAGCTTGTAATAAAGACAAGACAGGGGGATATGATAAAACATGTATATATATATAAAGGGAATCAACACAGTAAAGGAGGAGACTATATCTAAAAGAAGAAAAACAAGAGGACATAGTGTTAAATTAGAGGGGCAAAGATTCAAATATAATATCAGGAAGTATTACTTTACTGAGAGGGTAGTGGATGCATGGAATAGCCTTCCAGCTGAAGTGGTAGAGGTTAACACAGTAAAGGAGTTTAAGCATGCGTGGGATAGTCATAAGGCTATACCAGCTATAGGATAAGGCCAGGGACTAAGGAGAGTATTTTTTAAAAAGTAGGGGAGAGTATATGGGCCAAATGGTTCGTATCTGCAGTCACATTCTATTTTTCTAGCATTGGCAAGTCTCATATTTACTAATCCAAATTCAGCCTGCCCAAGCTAATCTGTAGTACTAGGTTTCAAACCTAGTAGGCCAAACAATCACAGCCAATTCAGACTCCAATCATTCAGACTCCTTGGCGCCAACTCGGGTCCGCCTTCTCTCCTCTGATGTCGGCCTAATGCGCATGCACGGCAATTGTATAATGTTTTCCTATGAGGATTCCGGTGAAGCTTGAAGTCCCCATGCATAGCGTATGTTCAGCGTCAGTTAGGCAACCAAAAGTCGCCTATTGACCTGAAAGACCCTCTAGTGGCTGTCTGGTAGACAAGCACTAGAGGAGGAATTTACCTGTAAAGGTAATTATTGCAGTTCATAAAAAACTTGTTAACAGTTTAATTGATATGATTTCCTAAAGAAGTGAGTTTTCAATGATTATTTGAAGGAGTAGAGACTAGGTGAAAGTCTAACAGGGAAGAGAAGGGAGTTCCAAATAAACAGT